ATAGTGCTTGACATATAGTAAGTACTTAATAAATGCTTGCTGACTAACTAGGGATATAAATAAAATTAATGAAATAATACCTACTCAAAAGCTCTGCATTCTAAATGTGGGTGAGGGAGGAGATAAAGGGGTGTGTGTGTATACATACATACATACATATAGATAGATAGATAGATAGATAGATAGATAGATAGATAGATAGATAGATGTACACACATACATACATACATATGCATATACACATACATAAATATATATGCATATACAGTTAATAAAATAATTACAAAGTCATTAAATGCAAGGCAGTTTGGGAGGGAAGGCAATAGCATTTGTGGGGATCAGAAAAGGCTCGCTGAGTTTTGAAGGAAATGAGGAAGTCTATAAGGAGAAGCTGAGGAGGATGTATGGGGTATGCACTGCAGAGACTGGAGATAGCCAGTGAAAGAACACAAAGACAGCAGATTGAGTGACACGTAACAAGTAACAGGTCAGTTCCTATTGCAGAATGTGGGAAGTAAAGTACAATGAAGCTGGAAAGATAAACAGAGAAATTTATATTTGATTTGAGGGAATGAGAAACCATTGAAATTTACTGAGTAGGAGTGTTACATGATCAGATTAGCACTTAAGAAAAATCTCTTTTACTTACATGAACTGATGCTGAGTGAAGTGAGCAGAACCAGGAGAACACTGTACAAAGTAAACTCAACATTTTGCGGTGATCAACTATGATAGATTTAACTCTTCTCAGCAATACAATGATCCAAGACAATTCCAAAAGACTAAAGATGGAAAATGCTATCCACATCCAGAGAAAAAACTATGGAGTCTGAATGCAGGTCAAAGATTACTATTTTCACTTTTTTTTTTTGGTGGCTTTTCCCTTTTGCTCTGTTTCTTCTTTCACAACGTGACTAATGTGGGGGAAAAAAATCACTTTTGGCAGATGTATGGAGGATGGACAAAAGTGGGGAGAGAGCTGAGTCTGAGATATCTCCAGGATATCCAATCTGAAATATACAATAGACAACTGGTGATGGGAGAAAGGAAAGCTTTAGGAGAGTGGAGACATGCAGGTATAGACATACATACATACATACTTATGTATATGTATATGTATGTATGTACGTCAATAGCATAGAGATAATTAAACCAAGTAGGAGGGGACAAGTTCACCAAAAAAAGGAGAGTTAGGGCTTAAGAGAGAGCCTTTGAGGAACAACCTACATTTAGGGGGTGTGATCTAGGTGAACCAGCAAAAGAGATTAAGAATCTTGTTAACTGGAAGGGCCATTAGAGTTCATCCAGTCCAACCCCCTCATTTTATAATGGAGGAAACTGAGGCCCAAAAGGAATTTTCCAGAGGAAAGGGCTTTGCAGGGAGGTAATGTCAGATGGAGCTGGCATAAGCTGGGTGGCTCCAAAGGAGGAAGAATCATGGGAGGAAGCTACAAGGAAGCAGATTTGGGCTTAACAGAGGAATCTCCCAATAATCACAGCTAGCAAAAAGGTAACAGACAACCCAGGAAAGTGAATTTCTCATCCACTGTAGAGGGTATCTCTGCTTTAGGTAGGAGTAGGATTAGGGGTTCTATGATATAGCTCAATGCTCTGACAGATTCTAGCAGCCCAAAAAGGTGGAAGGCATCTCAATTTTACCTTGTTTCTCTGGTTCTGCCACCTTGACAGAAGAAGCTGGCTTCTCCACTACAAACACTTTTTGTATCCAACTCGATACAAGTCATTCCTTTCCCACTGAATGTTACCCCATCTAACCTCCCCAACCCACTCATGTAAACATAAACTTCATTCGGACAGGCTCCTCCTCCCCACCAGAGTGTCATCTCTAACTCCAGGACCGAATAAAATACAATTTTTTTTAAAAATCAGTTTTTCCACTCTTTCCTGTCATTTCATTTACTGTTCAGATGTTCTCCTCATGATTGTCTATGCCCAAAGTGTCAGTCTTAGAAGGCCAGTTCCTAGGCAGGTAGGGGCTATATTAACCACTGGACAAAATACTTGGGCTGCCCCTCAGGCAAACTGCCCTTCCAGAAATGCTCTGGGACATAATTGATCATTGTGGTACAGCAGGCCCACTGTAATGGCTCACTATCATTAGATCATAGATTTAGAGCTGGGAGGAGAATCTAGCATTCATTTAACTCAACCTGTTCTTTTACAGTTGAGGAAACAGAGGTACAAAGAAGCGGCTCGTCCAATATCACACACACACACACACACACACACACACACACACACACACAGATGGTAAGAAACCAAGCCAGGATTCCTAGCCAGGTCCTTTCCATTCCACCCTACTGCCTCACACACAGCTCACTTGATACATACAAAATCCAGGTAAGGTGACACGACTGGTCACTCACTTGGCATGTGGGGAGAGAAAGAGGCTAAGGCTTGAATTCAGGTTTCCTTGACTTTAAGTTCAAGGCTCTTCCCCCTAGACCACAATGCCATGAAACGATTCTCCTGCTAGTTATATCTGTTGGAGACATTTTCATTGGTAGCTTTTGTTTTTATTTTGCCTACATTTCCCAATATGTCCCTCTACCTTTTCCCTCCCTTATAAGAAAGAATTTTTAAAAAATTAATGGTTTAGCAAAACAAACCAATCTATCCACAAAAATTTAACATTCCATGGAGTGTTCCACATGCATAGTCCTCCAGCTGTGCCAAGGAAGGAGGCAAGTGGACTCTCCCAGCTCTTCTCTGAGATCAAGCTTCTTCAGCCTACTTTCACAGCACTGAGGTTTTATCTGTTTGTCATTCTTCCTCTTCACGTTATTGCAGTCATGGTTCTCTTGGTTCTGCTTACCTTACATCGGCTTCCAGAAGTCTTCTTATGATTCCGTTTTCAAATTGTTTCTTACAGTGCAGTAAAATATTCCATTGCATTTATATGGACAGCTATCCATTTTGTTCTCAGTTCTTTGCTACTACAAAGAGTACTGCCATCAATATTCTGGTGAATATGGGGGCCTTTTTTTTTTTTAAATTCATTTATCTGCCTAAGCAGTGGCATCTCTGGGTGAGCCATAAGCTTTCTAAACAGAACAGAGGAACTCTTGTGAAAGTTGGCCAAATTCTTGGCATGATTTTGGTAGACGATTCCAACTCAAAATAAAGATACAGAGGAACCTTGTAAATCAAAAAGGGATCATCCACCAGCCCAAGTTGTTGTTGTGTATCTGTGCCTGTGTGTGCGTGTGTTTAAAGCAGTTTGCATTTCTACCCAGGCGACTTCACTGGCAGTGGAATCAATAAGATCAATAGCATACGACATCAATTGCAACTCCCTGTGGGACAGGAGGAGAGGAGTCATTTGTTAAGTCTGAGTCAACAAACACTCAACATTTGGGATATAGACAAGGAGAGGAGCATTGCCAGCCATGGCTAGCTGAGTTAGGCACTCGCTGGGCAGGCACAGTACAAATCTGTGGGAAGGTCTTAAAGACAAAAGGGAAGAAACACTATCATAGAGTAATAAATAAAAGACAAAAGGGGATGGACAGACATGGATTCTCAGGGAATAGAAGGCCTGGGGGAACTTTTAGCTGCTGGCAGAGACCTAAGAAAGGCATTTTCACCCATATGGAAATAATAAGACTTCAATAAAACTTACAAGGTTTCAATAGAATGCAGACTTGGGCTGATTTTTACAGAAACAGGTGCAGAGGAAAGGGTCGCTTATGGAAACCCCTGTGAGCAAATGGAAACTCGTGTGCTCAAAACATTCAAGTCTATGTTTCTAGGGGAAGGCCGAGTACGCATGTGAGCCAGGCCTGGGCTGTTGGCCAGGGCCAAGGGCTGGCTGCTCTAAGTGGTTCTGTTCTTTCTCCCAAATTACTTCAGAAACAACATGCTATGTATGGTTTGCTGGGGGGAAAGGGGCTTCTTAGGCCTCAACAGAAAATTTCCTTTAGAGAGGCCCCTCCAAAGCACGTAAGTTTCTCTTCCATTTCCTTACTTTCACAGCTCTGGGTCCTGGTGAACTAATTAGATCTTGAGCAATGAAATGGAAACACTGAGTTTGAGAGGTGCCTGTTTGACCCTCACTAGTATGAGAAAGAGGAGGAAGAAGTCATGCTGAAGTTAAAATGTGTTAGGCTTCTTTCATTTTTGGTCCCATCATAAATCAATATTTCTGTACTTTCATAAACAAGGCCTATTCCCCCGGTACTAAATTTGACTCAGTCAAGTTTGGGCGTTTTTCTTTGGTTCTGAGTAAATCTGTTGGCTTTTCCAGGCTCTTAGTAATCAATTTTTAACTCATACTAGAGATGGAAAACTCTAGGAATGTGGGTGAAAGACGGAAAATCCCATAAGATTAGTACCCTTTAGAACCAACCTTGATTCTTCACAGACTGGAAATCATGATTTTATGACCTACAAAAGTTACTCAACCTTTTCTTTTCTTTTCTTTTTTTTTTTTTGGGTTAAAGGAAAAAGGATTGCTGTGGCAAAGTTAAAAACGTTTAGGACATGCAGGTCACATACTGCTCTGGGTACATTAAAATACAGTGACGGCTAAATGGCAATCTAACACTTATGTTTTTAAGTATAAAAATAAAAGTTTTGGCATGGATGTGCCAGGGACTATGTGCTAGGTCTTGGGGATACAAGGGCAAAATGAAACAGTGCTTGCCCTCAACAAGCTTACATTCTAAGAGAGGGAACAAAACATAGACATGAGTGGACACCAAATAAATGCAGGGTAATTTTGAGAAGCGAAGGCACCAGCAGCCAGGGAAAAGGGGAAGGCGGCACTTAGGCAGAGTTCGGAAGGATGTCAGGGAGTAAACGTACTGTGGGCATGGAGGACAGCAGGAGATGGAACGTCATGTGTGAGACATAGCAAGCAGACAGTTTGACTGGACTATGTGAAGGGGAAGTAATATGCAATAAGTTTAGAAAGGTGAGCTGGAGCCAGATTGGGAATAGTTTCAAATGACAGAGGACAATCATGCCTTTGATTTCAGTAAAATATCAGTTTTATTTATATAATTCACACATTACAAACGCATTACACCCTCACCCCCCCCCAAATCTATTATCATGCTTGATTTTGCTTTCTTCTTCAAATCACTCGGCTTTACCCTGCATTATTAACTGCTGATTTTCCAAACATTGCTTGAGTTTGTCTTCTGTCAGGGTCAGTCTCTGTTCTAGAATGGAAACAGTCTGTGCAACAAAATGGGAGAGAAGGAAGAATTAGGGAGTCTAGTCGGTATACCACGCTGCCTTGGGACAGTACAACATTTCAACTCTTGCATTAACCATTCCTGGCTGCACTTTACTTAGAACTCTGTCCTGGAGAGTTCTGAGGTGGCTTCAATCTTCTTAGAGAACATGGCTTCGGTTTCAGATATCCTGCACCCCCACCAATTTTATATTACTCAGTGTGACTAGTTATTTCCTGGATTAGCTAAAACGGAGTAGGAAATCTAAGCAATAATTCATTATGACCAAGCTGGAGTTATTGACAGAACTAATCATATTGAAAACCAAAACATCTGAAACCACATGATCATCAGCAGATGCAGAAAAAGCTTTTTTAAACAACGTATAACGCTCGTTTATGCTAAAAACCCTCCAAAGTGCAGGCATGGCAAAGACTGTTCTTAATATCATAAAAACATCCATCTAAAACCAAAAGCAAGCATCAGATACAATGGGGACATACTAGAACTTTTCCCAGTAAATACAAGAGTAAAGCAAGGAGGCTCACTCGCCCCAGTGTTATTCGATGTTGTTGTGGAAATGTTAGCAATAGCAACAAGACAAGAGAAAGAGATTAAAGGAGAAAGACAGGTAAAGGGAAGATAAGACTATCCCTCCTTGCCAGTGAGATAAAAGGCATACTTGGAAAGCCCTAGGGAATCAGCAAAGATACTAACTGAGACAACTGATAGCTTCAGCAAAGTTGCAGGTTACAAAATAAACCCTCAAAAAGTCTACTGCATTTCTATATAATAATAATAATGATAATAATAAAATCCAAGAAGCAATAATAGAAAAGGAAATCTCATTCCAAATAACTACAAAATACATAAAGTATCTGGGGATCAACTTATCCAAACACACACAAAACTTGTATAGATTAAATTATGACGTGCTACTTAAAGTAATAAAAAATAGCTTAAATAGCTGGCGGGCTATTCAGTGCTCAGGGCTGGAACATGCCAATATAAAAAGAAAATTACAATCCTACCAAAGTGATTTTAATGCCATACCAATCAAATTACCAAGGAGATACTTTACAACACTTGATAATAAATAATATCTATTTGGAAAAAGAAAAGATTTAGACCAGGGGTGAGGAATTTGTGGCCTTGAGGCCAATTTGTTCTGTGAAGTTTGGATTCAGTCAAAGGGCCATACTTGAGGACCCAGAGGGCCACATGTGGACCTTGTCCCTGATCTAGAATATCAAGGAACATGATGAAACAAATTGGGATGAAGATGGAACAGCAATTCCAGACAGTATATTAAAAAGAAGCAGTCAACAGTGTCATCTGGACAGAGGCAGCTAGGTAGTGCAGTGAATAGAGCACTGGCCTTGGAGTCAGGAGGATCTGAATTCAAATCCGGCCTTAGACACATGATACTCACTAGTTGTGTGACCCTGGGCAGGTCACTTAATCCTGACTGCCTCAAAAAAACAAACGTCATCTGGTATTGGTTAAAAAATACAGAGGTGGATCAATGGAACAGACTAGACAAAGGAATCAGAAACAGTGGAACTCAGTAACCCAGTGTTTAGCAGAAAATATACATTACCCAGGAAAAACTCTTTATTTGATAAAAACTGGAAAATAGTCTGGCAGAAATTAGGTTTATACCAAGAACTTTATATCACTTTCCACAATATATTCAAAATAGATACATGAACTAATATTAGAGATCATACTATACAAAAAAAATTAGAAGAGAAGCAGATCCTATACCTCTCACAGCTATGAGTAGGAAATGTACAGAAAAATCTTTACATCAAATTTCTTTGTTAAGTGTTTGGTATTCAAGATATAAACACAAATAAATAAATGTGTGTGTAAACTAATAGCCATTCCTCAGTAGACAGGTGATCAAAATATATGAACAAAAGATATCAACAAATATGAACAAAACAACACATTCTCAAAAGAAGAAATGCAAAGTATTCATAACCACATGAAAGAAGGTTCCAAAATCACTAATAAGAAAAACGCAAATAAAAACCCTGAGGTTTTATCTCACACCCTGCAAATTGGCAAAGATGACAAAAAAACGGCAACATGCAATATTGAAGGGGTTATAGGATGACAGGCACATTACTACATTGTTGGTGGAACTATGAATTGGCATAACCATTTTGGAAAGTAATTTGGAATTATGCAAATAAAATAATCAAAATGTCCACTCCCTTTGACCCAGAGACTACATTACTGGGCTTAACCCAACGTAGCCATTAATAAGAAAAGTGCCCATATATACCAAAATATTTATAGTAGCACTTTTTGTAAAAGCTAAAAATTTGAGACCAATTGGGGAATGGACAAATAAATTGTGGTACATGAATATAAAGATGGATGTAATGAACTCTACCTGAGGTAGAGTTGACATAAGCAGAGCCAAGAAAATAATATACACAGTGACTCCCACAATGTAAGTGGAAAGCAGCACCACACACACAAAAATCAAAAGCAAGTATCACACAATTATAAAGATCACATAGGATTCAAATGAAGAGATATAAGAGAATATCCTCAAACCACCCCTTTGTGGAGAAAGGAGGTCCAACAAGTATTACACATTGCAAGTTTTTTGACTTTTTCAGTGTATTGATTGGTTGTGCTGATTTTTTCCTCTTCCTTTTCTTCTCATCTTAAAAAAATACTATTTGTTATATGGGAGGCTTTCTGAGAGGAGGAATGAAAGAGATATTGGGGAAACTATGATGATGTTAAAAAAAATAAAAGACATCAATGAAAACTTGCTTTTAAAGACATAATGTGGACTGAACTTTAAAAAGGGGAAGAAGGAGAAGAAAGTCCAGAAGGAGAAAAGAGAATATGCCTGCAAGAGCAAAAGGTCAGAGCCCTGAATCATTCAGGAGTGACATCTGTTAAAAAGCAGTCTATGACTTTTGTTTGCCTGCATGCCAGCTGAGGCTTGACCGAGCCCCAACTCTCAGGTATTACAGACAAATAGTATACAGGGAGGCGATTCTTGAGGCTTAAAGAGGCCATTTACCTTGGACAATTTTATCCAACAAATCCACAGAGGCAAAAAATGCTTTGAGATTAATTACAAAGACACAGTATTTTGAAATTTCTAAGTCATTCTCTTTATTCTTACCACTTTATTTTTGATTGACTCACTAGCCTCTGAACTAATTTGTCATCCAACATAAAAAAAAACTAACTATATTCCACTTTTTTTTGGGTACATACTTGGTTTTTGTTTTTTAACCTTTTAATACAATTTTACTGATGTCTTTCCCTATTTACACCACAGCTATTTCCTACTGTTATTCCCAAACCCATAGTCTTCCCTTGTAATAAAGAAAGCGAAGCAAAAACCTCTGGCTGAGTGCAAGCATCTATTAGCACATTCTACATTAGGTATCCACAGTCCACTCCAACAAGGAAGGAGTGTGTCATCACCTGTTCTCTGGAGCCAAGGGATCACTGAACTTAATCAACTTGTTGCCTACCTGCACCATCTCCCTTGTTACCAACAGGAAAAAGAAAGTACATCAGGGTCATTTACAGTCACTGTACAAAAGTACAGCTGACCAATAGTATCATTATCAAAAGACTAAATTTATTTCACTTGCCCTGCTGCAAATGGGCAGTCAAATTCCACTAAAGCTACCTAGATATACAGGCTAAGGTCTCATGAAAAAGGAATTTTAGAACACTGAGGAGGCAAAGGGTTGGATACTGCCAATCTAATACAAAGGACTTTTAAAAATGATGTCCTCATTTTCTTTCTTTGATTCTGTATTGACAGGAAAGATTTAAAAGCAAAATGTATTTAAATGACTTAATCATACTAAAAATCACTTATTTCTAATTGTACCTGAAGCAAATTTATAGCTTATGTATGTGGCCTACTGGCTTCCAAAAGCTCCACTGTGAAATGCACAGAGAGATTGATCCTTGTCTTTGTCTCTCTCTGGAGAACATCAGAGCTGAAAGGGGCCTTAGAGATTATCTAATTGACCACCCTCCAACCCCTAACTTTACATATGGTAAAACTGAGGCCCAAGGAGGTTTTGTGTTTTTTTTTTTTAATAATTTAGCTTGTGACAATTTTTTTTCAGTGAGATGCTTCATTGGGTGCACTGAAGAAAAGTTTGTCAAACAGTGAAGACACATAAAACAATGGGGTAGTAAGCGTTGGAGTAATGCTGCCATTAGGAGTGATGTCAGGCTTAGTTAGGGCTCTGCACACTGTCTGGCTCGACTAACAATAAAGCCAGGACAGAATGTGGCTGCCTGCTCTGGGCTTATATCTCTTCTTTCCTCAGTGCAAATCCTCCCTCTCCTGGGATGTCCCTATCCACACTCGGTCCAGGCATATCCCCAAGCTATTTGTACGGAACAGTCCCAGCCTTGTGACATGGCACCAAGTCTCCCAACCATGAAGATTTCCTAATGTTCTCCTCATCTCCAGAAAAAAATGGCTTAATCTCAGTCTGCTCTCTTCTCCCAATTGTAACTACATGGCAACCATGTTAAAAATACATGTTTTGCTTTTTGCTGTGTCATCAAAATTGTCCTTGAGTTGAAGGGTGTCAGCAGAAAAGCTGGACCAACAGCAAGTTTCACTGTCCTGGAAACCCGTATGGGGAACCCAGTGCAGAGCCACAAGGTCATGGCTCTGCTATATCGAGACACTTCTTGCTTCTTTTTTTTTCCCTTTTAAAAACATTTAACATTTTTATTGATCTTTTTTCAAATGTCACAGTATATCCCCTTTAACAAAGGATAAAAATGAAAGGTAATATAAGTAGTTCATAACACTAAACAGCCCATGTGAGTCTGGTGGGATTACACCTATTTTCTCATCTCTCTTCTGGGGCTAATCATGATCATTATAATTACAAAACACTTATTTTGGTTGCTTTTGTTGTTGCTGTTCTTTCCTTTCGTTCATGTTGTTCTAATTGTGTATACTGTTTTACTGGTTCTGCT